CTATATTAGCACAGTGTCACTCCGGGCGTTGTACGGGAAGGGCGATAAGCTAAGGGTCTATGTGAGCAGTACATTACGTTCCGTGTAACTTTGTTACATACTGTTGGGTGCGAACCGTCGTTATGCAGCGCAGTATCTGTCGAAATGCATTTGAGGGGAATGGGGAACAATTGAAAGTGCAACATCCCCTTGTTGACAATTCTGATGACGACTGGATCAAACAGTTGTGTTCTTCGTGTTTACCTTGTATTGTTCGTTTTGTTTACATTAAATTGCGGTTATAATGATTCAAATGTTTTATCAAAAAGTTATTATCTGTTACAGTTAATATTATATCTTGTATCATCTACATGAATATTGCACACTGAAAAAACATTTCAACCAAATTATCATATGTCTGCTATCTTGGCTTATTACAGAACGTTATTGGTTTCTCCGCCAAGAGTTGTTTGATCAAGGTTACAACATTCATGCCAAAGTCAAGCTTTCAAAACGTTTTATTGCACGCATGTGGAGGGCATTTCACGCTTTGCCTGCGACAGTGACAATAGCGATGTTGCTAGTATTCAATGTTGCTGTTTTGACCAGAGCTATATGTTGTTGTTGTTGTTTGTTTGTTTGGGGTTTTTTTTCATGTGCAATACTTGCCTTTGAATGTTTTGTGGCGTGTGTCATTGTTGGGACAGGATACGGTCACCTTTACGCGAACACCTTGTTTCATCACCACGTGACGGTGACTCGTAAACACATCCTTGTGATAACAAACGTCCCGGGGGCAGATTTCTTATGACTAGGGTTTTGTCACTTCTGTTTAGACTTAGGACGGAATAGCTTTGTTTAGGTGGAATAACATCCAGTTAAGACCAAATGCCATTAAAACCAACCTTGTTATGAATCTTCATTTACCCTCTTCCAGGTAAACAGTTACTCACATACAGTACCCAACATAGCTAATCAGTTCACAACATTACGGAGATGCTTCACGTTCCCAGTGCTTGCACGGGTGATGAACTTGTTCATTTTCAAACCGGTCCATTATTCATGCATGTACTTGATCAATTGTTTATCTACCTACCTACTTACTTATTTAAAGACCCACGTTACCACCTACCAACCTACCTAAATACCCACCTACCAACCACGTACCCACACCCACGTATCAGCCAACCAATCTACATACCTACCTACCTAAACACCCACCATCCCACTTACCAATCTACCGACCTAAACACCCACGTACCAACCAACCCACCTACCTACGTACCTAAACACCCACGTACCCACCATCACACCTACCTACCTAAACACACACGTACCAACCTACCCACCTACTACTTACCTACCTACGTACCTAAACACCCACGTACCAACCCACCTACCTACCTACCTACCTACTACTTACCTACCTAAATAGCCACGTCCCCACGTCCCCGCCTACCTACCTACTTACCTACCCACCTACATAAACACGCACGTACCCACTAAGCCACCTACCTACCTACCTACCTACCTACTTACCTACCCACCTACCTACCTACATACTTACCTACCCAGTTACCTACCTACCCACCTACCTACCTACCTACCTACTTACCTACCCACCTACCTACCTACCTACTTACCTACCTACCTACCTACCCACCTACCCACCTACCTAAACACGCACGCAGCCACTAAGCCACCAACCTACCTGCCTACCTACTGTTGCTTCAGTGGATCACTGTGTATAATACGTATTATCAATAGCATTTGGGGCGCCAACAAACTATATACAAAACACTCAAGGACTGGTTTGGCTACACAGCTGTTAACAGATATCCCTGACATGTTCATGCCAGTAATAAACATTACATTTAGGACAAACAATTTAACGTAAGTGTAAGTGTAAGTGTAATTCGGTTATCCGTATATAATGATTATATTATGAACGCTTCTTTCAATATTTGTAAATTATTTAAAACGACACTTTGTACTCTATTACATTGTTGTCGACTTGTTCATTTTATCTAATGTCTCTCAATGCATTGGAGTAGATGTGCCCGATAATGCTCCTCTGTGTACTAACCATTTGATATTATTTTATGAAGGAGTAAGTGCGGATTAGGACGGTGTCTGGTCACACTAAAGAATGATTTAAAAGCAGCACTGGATTGAGAGAGGCGGATAAATTGACATATACAAGCGGATAAATTAATGCACAAGAGGTGAACATTGAAATGTTCATGGTTGTGATAAATTTATATACCTCGGTGCGTTAATAGTATTTAAGGACGTTTCAAGTAGTCCTTCAGCAGTATCACAGTGAGTGAGTTTAGTTTTAGGTCGCTTTAGCACTATTCCAGCAATGTCAAGGTGGGGTGGGGGGACACCAGGGGTATGCTTCACACATTGTACCCGTGTGGGGAATGGACGCTGGTCCACTTTGACGTGGTTTTGGGAATTCCAAAGTAAGATCTCTGTGAGAAGTCCAACCTGGATCATCAGCAAAACGTTGTACCCACTGCTCTACACATACACTGTAGGGTGTATATGATACAAGCCCTCTCCAATATAACGTCCTGAGTTAATTATGTAATCCATTCCATACAAACCCTCACCAATCGGAATTAACTATGAATTAATTGAAACATGTAGCATAACGGTTCTATGTGATGCCTTATGGTACTATGCCTTGTTCTGACCATGCAGCCCAGGTTCCGAAAGCGAGGTAGGTGTATGTTATACGTACAATGTATAAATGTATCAAATTAAATCTTATACAGAACCTTCATCAATGTAATTGAAATGTATTCTTCATATAAATTGTGTACTCAAATATCTGTCAAATAATGGTTAAATAAATGAGTAATACACAGTTAGAAAGTGTACAGTATTAATTTAAAATAGCATATTTCCATAAGAAAAAATGTAGTAATATAATTGCAGGACATTGTACCGGATATGCATCCGCCCGAGACAATGTTCTGCAGGAGGGGCATATCTCGATTCTGGTTACACACCAACTCATCATAACACATTATCTGTACAGTCAATGTGAATATGTAAGACTTGGCACCATTATATTTGTTTGACTGTTGTTTAACGCCACAATTAAAATACTCCAGCTGTGTGTAGTAGTAGTAGTAGTAGTAGTAGTAGTAGTAGTAGTAGTAGTAGTAGCTTTACCTGACCAAATGAATACTAATGTATTGCGTGACCGTGTCACAATTGGTCGGGTCTATTATTGTGAAGGGGTGCACCTTTGTCAGTTGATTGTCAGCAGGCCCAAATAGTAGTAGTAGTAGTAGCAGCAGCAGTAGTAGTAGTAGTAGTAGTAGTAGCAGTAGCAGTAGCAGTAGTAGTAGTAGTAGTAGTAGTAGTAGTAGTAGCAGCAGCAGCAGTAGTAGTAGTAGTAGTAGTAGCAGCAGCAGCAGTAGTAGTAGTAGTAGTAGTAGTAGTAGTAGTAGTAGTAGTAGTAGCAGCAGCAGTAGTAGTAGTAGTAGTAGTAGTAGTAGTAGTAGTAGTAGTAGTAGTAGTAGTAGTAGTAGTAGTAGTAGTAGTTTGTTTGAGACAATCAAGGTATTGGTAACACGACTGACCAGGATACACTTAATCTACTTAATTCATTAACACATACTAATTGTTGGAAACCTTCAAAGACTTCTACGTTTATCAGATGACTTATGACTATTGAACGGTTTTGGTCGCTTTGAATATAACTATTTTTATGTGAAAGTATCATGTTCACTGTCGTTTGCTGTTGCTTGTCTATTCAAAGCGACGTCGTATGTTCAATACAGTCATCTTACTGGGGCAATGTATCTATAAGAATATAAGTATAATCTAGGATGAATACACAGATTCAATGAGTGAGTTTAGTTTTACGCCGTTTTTAAGCTATATTCCAGCAAAGCCACGACGGGGACACCAGAAATGGGCTTCACATATATTCCCATGTCGAATCGAACCCGGGCCGTCGGCGTGACAAGCAAACGCTTTAACCACTAGGCTACCCCACCGCTCCATTCAAAGAGTGATGTTTGTAGGGGTTCTGGCCGGCGCTGACAGTTTTTCTTCCTGTCTCTATACGACTGGTATGTAAAACTCATTGCTGTTTATTGACATTTCACCCCTTCCTCGGAAATTATCTTGATAAAACATATGTGGCAACCAGTATCACTACATTAATATGGCCGACACATTTTGAATGAGCGTTTTTCATGTCTTTCATCCAAAGTTGAAAATAGGGAAGACGCTCTAACCGACATGCATGTACACTACAGGTGTTAGCTTGGAGTTTTGTCGACACAAGCAGTGCAGGGGATGACAGTTATCATCTCAGGGGTATAAGGTATTTTAGAAATATGACGAGGAGACTCGGAAGAACATGTTATCAACTTGGTGTGGCCTTCGTTATCAGCAAACACGGAAGAATGTAAGTTTCGGTACACACACTAGCGAACCTTGTTTTGAGCTATTTGTATTGACCCGATAGATATATATGTACACAGGGAAATAAATACTGGACTATGAGGGCCTGTAAAGTGCATTGAATTGATATTTCCACAGGCAGTCACTGATAAGGTAAGTTTGAGTACATTATTATCCTTTGTTGTGATTCCATTCACATTGCACAATTAAACTCATGGGATGAGCGAGCTTTTCATTATACTCATATTTGTACTAATAGTCTTTATCTTTGATTTCATCAAAGAGTGTGACTGTGGCACTGAAAATCCAAACGTATTCTCTAAGATGTGTGGTGACATGAAGTGTTCAAGAGTATGTCGTGTTTGTGCATGCTTGTGTGCCTGCTTTGCAGTACACCGAACTCTGTAGGATTTGTAAAGCAAATTCACGGGGATATGACCGCAATTTATCATGGATACCATAGTCCGACAGAGTACACTGATCCCGAGTTGGCTAGTCCTCAAGAGTGTCCCATCAATGCCGAGATCCAGGCATGTAACTAATTAAAACAGACCCCTCCCATAATTAACTTCCGGTATATCGTTCCGCCATCAAGTGACTGTCGATTGGAAGTATGGCTGTCACTTCTTTTGTGATAAATCTTTGTTTGCATACCCACAACTAATCTTAACGTTTCATACGCAGAACAAGGCAGGTGAGACGGGTGAGGTCTGTATCGTCAGTTAACAGTTCAGTTTGGAAAGACACAGGTAGGTATACTGCGTTTTATTTGATTGTGTTAAACAGAACTCAAATCGGGAAACCTGCGTGACTAATGTGCCTGATTCGTGTTTGGGGCGCTACGCGTGTGTGACAGCTTGTAAGGACTAAAAGGTAGGACGTCAAGTTTAACATGGCAACAGTATATGGACTCAGATCCGACCAGGCATTGCTATGCCCTCTCTACACCAAACATATATGTTATATACTATGCGTTATTAATATCGGGTCAAATGATATAAAGCACATGTAAAGAAAAGTTTCTATAAAAATAGAGTGTCATCATAATGTTTAATGCGTTAACAAACCTGACACGTCGTGACATACAGACAAAACGTTCAAACTGCACTAGCAAGCATCAGTTGTATAGACCAATCCCCTAAAATGAAAGTGACAAACATGAAGCACTCGGTCATTCAATATCTTGTCTACCCTCCTCGCGCGTCCAAGCCACATATGGACCTTGCTCTCACGTTCTTTATCAAGTTCATAGACAAAGCTTGCGGAATTGCATTCCATTCTTCTACTAGACCTTTGCGGAGTCTTGGGAGGTCCACTGGAGCTGGGTGATGTGTGTACACATGTCGACCGAGTTCATCCCAGGCATACTCAATTGGGTTGAGGTCTGGCGAGTATGCTAGCCACTCCATTCGCCCAAGGAATACCGTGACAATCCCGGCCCGATGAGGCCTTGTGTTGTCTTCTTGCAGTAAAGAGGGTCGACCATAAAACCATGCATTGCTTACAGGAATGGCATTGCTAAAGGAGCCAGAATCCCATCCCGATAACGCTGTCCGGTAAGATTACTGTCGACCACGTCCAGTAGAGTACGTCCAGTAGAGGTTATCCCTGCCCAAACCATGACCGAACCTCCACCAAATCGGTTATGCGTGGCCACAGTTGTATCTGTGATTCTCTCTCCATTGCGACTATAAATCCTCTGCCGACCTGTAAGGGAGGAACACTTTTAATCTGCTTTCATCTGTGAAGAGCACATGAGACCATTGACGTTGAATTACAGCGGCCATGATATCTACTCCATTTCAAACGGGCCTGCTTGTGACGACTGCAGGTCGTCGAATCCGGCTGCCCTTACACTTCGACGAAGGATGCTCCTGGGTATCCTCACATTGTTAACACCGAAGTGTTCTGTCTGAAGATCTACTGCGTTAAGGAATTTGTTAGGTAACGCAGTGTTAATCATGTGACTGTTGTGACTCTGCCCCATTCCTACCGATAGCACTCTGACTCACATTAAAGCGGACATCAACCTGCCTCTGAGCTTGAAGAGATTCTAAAATGCCAATAGTCAGACCCCTTTTAGCAACATGTGTTATATTTGGGATTACACTTTCTTAGTAAAGTACAATTTCTAGTCCTTTTTCTGAGTTGAGCCCCATCCGGGATTCGAACTCACACCCTCAGAGTCAGGCACCCAATCGCCAGCACTCAAAGTCAGCCGCCTAACCCACTCAGCTTCCGCGACTTCCACAAAAATGGAAGTCGGACAACTGGTAGTCTAGACTCCGGGCTTTGTGTACCCCTCTGATAAGTGTTAATTGGTACGGCTCCCACGGCCGAAAGCTATGATTACACAATGCCATTGCCGTGCCAATTAACACTTATCAGAGGGGTACACAAAGCCATTGACATTAAATGGCAGGTTGATTTCAATCATGACAATTTGAATAAAAATTGTGCCATTTGTAGCAGGATGTATCGGACGTTGAGGAACGTAATAGTGACCTGATGTGCTTTCTATACTGTAAAGAAAATTTGTAAAACATTCAGTTGTATATATTTCAAACAAAAACGAAGATTGTACAACGTTTTAGGAAATAGTGTTACCAATAACTTGACCCTTCAATAATGACGCCGAGTATATTTGGGATTACACTTTCTCAGTTAAATACTAGAATTGATACTCTACTGAGAAAATGCAATCCCAGATATAACATATATGTTGGATTTGACGACTTTCTCAATAGCATTGTGTATTCATAGCTTTGGGCCTTGGGAGCCTTTCCAATTTACACTTAAGGGCACATAAAGGCCTTGATCTAGACTACCAGTGGTCTGAGTGGGTTAGGCGGTTGGCTTTGTGTGCTGGCGATCAGGTACTGAAATATGAGAGTGTAGGTTCGAATCCCGGACGGGACTCAAGATGTCAAAATAACTAGAATCGGTACTTTTTTGAGAAAATGTCATCCCAAATATAACAAATGTGTTGCATCACTTTCTAAATGACATTGTGTATTCATACAACTAACTCTTAATGGCGGATAGCAACAAGTACAATCTTTGAATACGTTGTAGAGGAACTAGGGGTTGAACCATCATCCTCTAGCATTCCGGGCAGGCGAGTCGCGTTGCGAGACATCCAGACGTATCCTCCAGAAAATCTTTCTCTAAGATGTATACCACCACGAGGCAACTTAAGTTTACACACATGTTCCACAGTACAGAAACAATCGACCTCTCAAAAATAAGGTTTTAGACAGGAATATGTACACTGCCATGGGAAGAAATTGATTTTGTTACCTGACCAATAAAATATTCCTTGCAATTAAATCGATGTTTAAGCAAGGTTTCGCCAAGCTGAAATGTAAACGAGATGATAAGAACAAGCATACCTTGTTATGAGTGAGGGTTTAACGTCGGGTTCAAGTTTATTGCACTTCTCTGGCGACGTAAGTGTCTATGTACTGCTCCTGTTTATGTGGGTTTCATAGTGCTAGCCCAATGGAATACCATGCGCCAGCTTAACATGAATACCACATTCAGGTTTGGGATATTGGCTCTAAGCTGACCAGTCTTGTTTTGTCATCTTAAAGGCGCCACAGAGGTCGTCTATTTGGTTTTTAAACTGCAATAGTTAAAACAATACATATTACTAGTCTGAGGTTATATAGAAGATTTACTCTCCGTTCATAGGGTGTTTAGTTTCTGTGCCATGTCAACTGGTTTAGTGAAAACGTCATTTGTGAGTCATACAGTAACAATCGAAAAGTCCAAATGTTTATGTCCGGTCTATGATAACAACCAATCAAATGCATATTTGTCCTCGTTTTTTCAGATTTAGTGTTTCTTATTTTCGAATAGCGCGATGTCCTATGTCATAAAACAGCACGAAAATAAATACCGAATAAAATATTTCAGTACATATGTAGTTTGTTTATGTCATGACGAGGGTGTTGGACATCGTCATCCGTTTCGTGAACACCTGGTGTCCTTGCTGATTCTCAATTCAATGATTCATATCAGTATATGTTCTCTACGCATAGAATCTGTTGGTCATATAATCGAGACTGAATATTATTCTCTCCCTACATGCCCCTCCCAACCCTCCAACTGTACTGCAAAATGAATCACATATTTTTTCAACGTTGTCTTACTTAAAAGCAGATGTCAGTCGTTCACAACCAACATTTTTTTTTAACCCTCTCTTTCATAGATCACAAGATCGCCAGTCCGCTCTTGTATGGCAGGTGATAGCTGTGAAGTGTCACACAAAGACTTTTACTTGTCAGGCACAATATTTTTCTTATTTATGGAAAAAATCAGTAGGTTTCATTTTCATTTCAGTTGACACTTATCCATTTGTAATCATTTGAGGACCGCCCATTTGAATTGTTTTCTCTTTTTATGCGTGTGTCCATACTGTTCCACAATATACAGAAAAGTGTTTCCCCTAAATAATTGTTCGCTGGGTGTTTGGACAATGGAGGTTGACTCAAAACAATGTGTCCGCAAAATGAAAATCGTTACTCAAATCTCCTGATTTACCCTTTTCATACATGAAGTTTGGTCTTCACTCAAACGAAATGTTTCGGTCTTAAAAAACCCGGAATGTATTCACTACAGATATTGTCGATTGAAACCGAAACAGCTGAAAATCGATTGAATGTGTCACATGCAACCAAATAATCAAACATAATTAAAACACAATTATCACTTATTCATGACATATAATATACATTGCTGGTTATGAAAAAGCATAAAAGCAAAATTATAAGCGTACAATTGCAAATCAAAAGTGCAATATTTTGTACTTGGGTTTACTTCCCAAGAAACGAAGCAGCCGGGATACCGAACCCAGTCAGAGCGGGTGGGTTTGCACTCAAGTGTAACGGCTGGTTCATTTGCAGATGCCCTCACGGCTCATTGTGTGTGTGTATATATAGATGTGTTGGGTTTTGTAAATACATGCTCATTTTTTTGTGTATAACATTTTGCATTCAACAGGCATCATAACATGTCATGTGTACAAGTATCAAACCTGCCTGTCTGTGTAATTACATAATATGACAGAGACCGAACTCGGGCCATAAATCAATGCGTTTTGTTTATGGTGTATAGCCTGATAGGTGTTAAGTTCAAATTGCATGTGGTCAGTGATTGAAATTGTGTATTTTATATTGTCATTAGTAGGCAGGTAGGCAGACACATACGTGCCAATAAAACAGACTTTGAGTTTTATCTGTGACACCGACATATCTATATCACAGTTAGAAATCCTGTCGACGCTAAATAATGACATTGCTTTTAAGTATCGAACTGAGAAAGTGACTCGGTAAGTAGAACGTATGGTGAAATAGACAAATGAAATTATATAAACAGTTAAATCGGTAATCTGCTCGCTCGCGCCTGTGAAATATAAACAAAACATTAGAAAAATAGCTCACACCAAAGCCTTCACCGAATATTCACCGGACAACCCGCTTCCAAGCTCCGAGAACCTATTTCACTGCGCATGTGCTATGAGCGCAGCCCAGCTGTTGAAACCACTTCAAATCCCCCAAGCGCTGGGGGAAAGTTAGTGAATCGTTTGAACTATGATTTCGCGCGGGTTTTTTCATCGCGTTATTTTTCAACTTTATAAGTTGAATTTGCATTTTTGATGATTTGTTTCGGTAAGTCCATACCGAAAGGTATCAGAATCTGCAAAGTTGTGCTTTACGTTGCATGTGACCTTTAAGGTCGAACCTTAATGCACATGTCACTGATAACCAATGTTCAAAATAAGCTGATGTACATGTTCAGAAAGTGCACACCTGATATTTTCTTTACTATTTTTAGTAAATAGTTACACATGATTTGATTTGGTCACAAGTCAACATTCTGTACAATGTTCTTCGTGGAATAAAAATCGTGATTTTGTTGAATCACACGTTGCATGTTATGCGTCAACAGCATGGAGCACGGTGAATTGAGATTGTTAATGGTACACCTGTTAAAGACACATCAAAATTCTAAGCTTATCAGCAGCAAAGCGAGAACGTGCCATGGAATGTTACAGTTTAGAATACACATTTACAGGAAAAGATTACATTATTCTATACTGGTGTTGGAAATGTTCAAGTAGTTCTGTGTAAGACATTTCAGCACATGGACACCCAAAATATAACCACAGCATATAGTGTCATGTTACACAATATGTTTCGTGTCAACGATTCCTTATTTTATCATCAAAAACCTTTTGGCTTCGGAACCCGTGCTCGTCATCACAGGCAGAAAAACGCATCAAGACGTCAGACTAGGTTATCCTTGCGGATCTGTTCTGTTTCTTTATGCATATGAATCACAATTTCTGCTTGTCTTGGCAAAATCAAGACAAGGTAGTATGGCCGAGACCTTTAGCTTCCGGTGCATCGGTGATTCAATATCGTTCAATAACCATCAACTAGCCACTTGCCTTCCACTGATTTATCCCCCTAAACTTGAAATTAAGGAGACAAGTGAGACCGCCTCAACTTTTTCATATTTAGATCTATGCATACAGAGTGACAAAATACTCTCCACAAGGCTGTATGACAAAAGGGATGATTTCAACTTTCCAGTCGTCAACTTCCCTTTCATGTCGAGCAATATTCCAACAGCTCCAGCCTTTGGTGTTTACATCTCACAACTTCTGAGGTACAATCGGCTGTGCTGTTTTTATCAGGATTACAAACAGCGTCATGCCATTCTTGCTCAGAAGTTGTTTGATCAAGGTTACAACATTTAAGGCCTCAGTAAAGCTTTCAAGAAGTTTTATGGTAGACATGTGGAGGAAATGTCCAAATTTGATGCATCAGTGACAAAAGGAAGGATCACAACTTCTAAATACCTCTCAAAGAAGTTATCAGTGAAAAATTATGTCCGATTCAATTCCCTATCTTTATTTATACCATACGTCCCCGAATTATTTCAGGTGAACAAATGACAAGACTTAGCATATGCTTATGACGGGTGCCACCGGTGGGGCAGGATACGCTCACCTTTTTGCGAACACCTGGTATCATCACTGTTTCATAGTGATTCATAAACACATGCTCTGTCATCGTATCACATAGTGACAATCACTGGATTGTTTGGTTCAGACCCGATTTGTTTACAACAACATCATGCAGCTGAAACAAATATCTGCTCATGACATAGTCACAATTATACAATCGACTCTGCTTTGGCAGATATTTCTTATGAACTTGGAACGGTTCTGTCGCTTCTATTGTATCAAACCAGATAGGGATATCGCTCATAAAACCACCCACTGGTGTCCACGGCCCAGTTTCGATTATATGCAAGCTGTGGTTATAGAGATGGAATCGAATGACATGGTAAAACATCATAAAATTCACCATCTGGCCAATAAACTTTAATATATTAATATGAGAACAATTTGTTTTCACATGTAGGCAATGAAGTGTTTGATTTGAATTTGATACACATGTCATTTTGTTTTAGCCAATCCACTGAGATATTTGTATACAATTGTGCTGGCGAACGAGGAAAGGCTACCAGCACGCTACTCTAACTGTCAGATGAGCATAAATAACAAACCGGAAATTAAATATGCATTACTCACTTATCTTACTTTCCGGTCTTAACTTGGTTATGCTGAAGGTATTGTGTAATAACTGTATGAATCTGATTCATTTACACATCCCAGACTGGTCGTCACGTTTCACTCTTCCATTTCCGTCGATGACCTCACCCATTAGAGGTAACAACTGAAAAAATGAATTTTTCACTAGCTTATATACTCTCCTAAACGTTTTTTAGTATTTAAAAAGTACATAGATACAATGAAGTGTCAAAATGAGTAAGATTTCATAATAACAATAATCCAACAACATCACGGCGGGGTCATCAGAAAAAGACTAGTATTCATGTGAGGAATTGAACCTAGGTCTTCGGAGTGACACGTTAACCTCTGTTCTGCCCCAAAACACTGATGGACACATGGATGAATAAGAAAAGGGCAGGACCTTTTCAAGCACCTGTTTCTGTTCAGCTGGCGTAGCGAGTGGGGTACAATTACCCCGATCATTGCTGGTCATTGCGTTCTTGCATTGCTGTTGGAGGTATTTATGTTCAAATGTCATTGTTTAATATGTTGTTGATTCTATCAGAACTCATACCAGCACCTTACTGTAATATTATTCAGAACTCACTGTGTACATTTAATACCCGCATGGTGGTTCATGCTAATTATAAATGGCCTTTTGTGTTTTAGACTCAGTGATCTGGCCACGGAAAAAGGAACCCAGCTACACCAAGAAAAGGCATGGAATGGATCAAGCAACTCATCGTCTGTTCATGTCTGGTGTTGAAAGGTAATGTCTGTATGTCTGTATGCATGTATGTATTGAAGAGCGCAATTCACATGTAAATACACATTTAGTGGAAGAAATTCTGATTAAGCATCACGTTTAGGTGGTGCAGATCAGATACAATACCGTTATCATGACCCAATACACAAAAGTGTAGGTCTTGTTGTGAAGTGTCCTGATCTCTCCGCGATGGCACAAACTGTTTTGCAATGATTCAGTACATTCTATGATTCCCTGTCTCATTTTTGAGAACACCCGTGTAGTATACGCAATCAGAAGATTGCTTAGTTTGTTTTTTCCTGAACCTCTCCATCATACAGTTCAAGTCAACGCAGGATGTCACTGTACTTTTTATCGCATTTCTTTTAGTTGACAAGACATGTACTTATCATATTTCGAAACATAGTGTAACCTTCCATTGCCAACCACCTCACTGTTTACAGTTTTCTCAACAAGTGCTCCTTGCACCAACTGTGACCGTAACAACGTGACCTGTGTTGACGGTGTGTGTCCACCTCGCTGTGTCAATGTGACGTCATCTGGAGAGTGTCTCCAGTGTCTGGACTCCAGGTTCTATGGTAAACAGTGTCAACATGACTGTCCAGACACCTGTCTCAACTCTCGTTGTCAGATGAACAACACCCGTGTTGTGTGTACAGAGGGATGTGTGGCCGGCAAGAAGGGAGATAACTGTGGAGTGAACTGTCCTACAGCCTGTACACAGTGTGAACGTTATGGTGATGGTTGTACAGGACCGTGTCAGAATCCCCAGTATTACGGTCAACACTGTAGAACACCTTGTCCCTCCATCTGTACAGGTGGATGTAATAGGATCACAGGGGAGTGTGACAGCTGTGAGCCAGGTTACACAGGGGACAAGTGTGATGTTACCTGTCCCCCCAACTGTACAGGTGGATGTGATAAAGACACAGGGGAGTGTGGCAGCTGTGAGCCAGGTTACACAGGGGACAAGTGTGATGTTACCTGTCCCCCCAACTGTAGAGGTGGATGTGATAAACACACAGGGGTGTGTGACAGCTGTGAGCCAGGTTACAGAGGAAAGAATTGTAATGACACCTGTCCCCCGAGCTGTAGAGATGGATGTGACAAGGAGATAGGACAGTGCAAGAGATGTAATCCAGGGAACAGTGGCAAGTACTGCAATACTTCCTGTCCTGATACTTGTAGGGAAGAATGTACTGAAGATGGAAAGTGCCAATCGCCAGGTAAGTTAACATTTTTCTTTATTTATAATAATCTCACACGGAAATCGCAGGTCACTTCTCTTATAAGATTAAGCTTCTAACTCATCTGAAGACAGCTGATTTCCTTACTGCACATAGTCTCTAGTTGTTGATTCATTACATTGAAGTTAAATGTTTAATGGTTTGTAATATTTGAACGGGTTCAGAATGAGAGGATGTTAACCGGTGTATTCCTTGATAGCATTTGAGCTGGTGTATTGTACAATGTAGACAAACGATTAGTCTCTGAATATATATAATTTTGATTGTAGCAAAAATAAAACTCATTGAATTGAAAAGGAGCCCCAGAGAGACCAGCCTGAACCTCGAGAAATCTAGGCCCCGTTTTACAAAGCGGTCGTAGCGCTACGCCTGTCGTAAGTCTTTGTTAAAGTATGGGGGTTACGATCATCTTAGCGCTACGGTCGCTTTGTGAAACGGGCCCGTAGACTTTATTCATTTAGGACTTTAGCATTGCAGGTAGGGCTAGGCTGTAGGGAAAATAATATGGTTGAGGGACTGTGAGACAGACTATGTATAATGCAGTATTGTTACATGAGTTACAGCCAAAAGTCTCGGTGTAATACTGGTTGTGATGGCTGTGTGCTTGTGCCTGGCTCTTGTTGGACTTATCGTATGGAGAAGGTAAGTATGTCGACCAAGTTAGCAATGATAATGACTAAGAGGTAATTCTGAAAGGCACTGTCTGGAAGGCACTGCATAATTCTTCCACATGTTTATCTGAAATAAGCTATATAAAAGCGACATAAACGTTTTCATAGTCATTCTAAAAGTTACTTCGTACGATTTCGACAAAAACATTAAAAGTTTGTATATGAATCTGTATCTAACAGTGATGATACCGGGTGTTCACGAAGATATACGAACCGCGACCCACTGGTATCCCAGTGACAAATACATGCAACGGCACCTCAATTCGCGTGTTCGGTATGTTGTAGAAGGCGAAGACGGAAATTGAAACTAAAGGCTGACACCCCTGTCCTTGCTCCTTTCATTCCAATGTCTGAGCGTAATGATGACACCGTCAGTGACATGTCCGACGCCGACAACCCCTTGTACGAACACGCCGGCGGCCGTAAGTACAGCTAATAGTTTGCATTAAAACATTATCATAATTCGTTTACTTGTAAATTGTCGGGCAAAGGAAAGCATGTATTTAAAATTGACCATAACGCTAATCGGTTGACAACAGTGTCAGAAGCACTGCAACCTTAGGTCCAAACCACAACTGTAACACCCGTTTTAAATATTAAGTATTTCTTGGGTGTTTTCCCTCTTTAGCCACCAGAAACATGGGTGTATAATTTGTTTTATCTGTTTACTTGTAAGACAGTATTGTCTTAGGGTTTAGTTTTGTAATATTTTCACCTACATGTGCCTGTAATTGTTGATTTTTGTGCTCATTCCCTTTAGTGATGTTTAATGTCCCTCTGTGTTTATGAGGTTTCCAGTATTCAAGTTTTGTCAGTATTAACCAGTTTTATATCATACGTTATTGTATTGATATATTGATAAATGAAATTAGCCTTTCTTTTACAAGCGAAGTGTGTTCCTCAAATACGTATGTGTCCGGAACTGCAAGGGGAAGAATCAGTCAGTTACATGGCGGAGGAGTTCAAGGTAAACCAGTGTTAGCTAACGTTAAGATTGTTATAAAATTGTAAACATGCACATTGATCAGTATATCGATATCGTTCACAGTTCATGTCTTACGGGATGGCCAGTGTCAGCACATACATCATCATGTCCAACACCAGCACACATTCCATCATGTCCAACACCAGCACACATTCCATCATGTCCAACACCAGCACACATTCCATCATGTCCAACACCAGCACACATTCCATCATGTCCAATACCAGAACACATTCCTATCATGTCCAATACCAGCACACATTCCATCATGTCCAACACCAGCACACATTCCATCATGTCCAATACCAGCACACATTCCATCATGTCCAACACCAGCACACATTCCATCATGTCCAACACCAGCACACATTCTATCATGTCCAACACCAGCACACATTCTATCATGTCCAACACCAGCACACATTCCATCATGTCCAACACCAGCACACATTCCATCATGTCCAACACCAGCACACATTCCATCATGTCCAATACCAGCACACATTCCATCATGTCCAACACATTCCATCATGTCCAACACCAGCACACATTCCATCATGTCCAACACCAGCACACATTCCATCATGTCCAACACCAGCACACATTCCATCATGTCCAACACCAGCACACATTCCATCATGTCCAACACCAGCACACATTCCATCATGTCCAACACCAGCACACATTCTATCATGTCCAACACCAGCACACATTCTATCATGTCCAATACCAGCACACATTCCATCATGTCCAATACCAGCACACATTCCATCATGTCCAACCACCACATTCCATCACACATTCCATCATGTCCAATACCAGCACACATTCCATCATGTCCAATACCAGCACACATTCCATCATGTCCAATACCAGCACACATTCATCATGTCAATATTCATGTCCAACACATTCCATCATGTCCAATACCAGCACACATTCCATCATGTCCAATACCAGCACACATTCCATCATGTCCAACACCAGCACACATTCCATCATGTCCAATACCAGCACACATTCCATCATGTCCAATACCAGCACACATTCCATCATGTCCAACACCAGCACACATTCCATCATGTCCAATACCAGCACACACATACCAGAACATCCATCATGTCCAATACCAGCACACATTCCATCATGTCCAATACCAGCACACATTCCATCATGTCCAACACCAGAACACATTCCATCATGTCCAATACCAGCACACATTCCATCGTGTCCAGCACCAGAACACATTCTATCATGTCCAATACCAGCACACATTCTATCGTGTCCAATACCAGAACACATATCAGCAGTATATGGATATGTACATGTGAAGTTCTCTCCATCTTCTATTTCAAGAAATTACCTACGCCAATCGCCAGTTCATCTCACTGTGGACTTTTGACTGAGAATGTCTTCAAAAACAGATATAGGGACATTCTACCATGTGAGTAATATGTGCAATGTCATGTGCTAGTTTCAAAGTGAGTGAGTGAGTGAGTTTAGTTTTACGCCTCACTCAGCAATATTCCATATATATTGCGGCGGTTGCTAGTTTCATAAAACGTAACAGTGTTTTGTTTTTGGTTGCTTAATTTGTCTAGACGGACACTGAGTGTGTTGAATGAAATGTTTTAGTTGACACCACACGAGTGTGTCTGGAGGTGGAGGACGAGGGCGGAAGTGATTATATCAACGCTTCCTACATTGATGTGAGTATAACATCCAAATCTACATGAACGACTCTAATAGTATGTATGTTTATTCAGTCTGGGGTAATGTATCACGTGTTGTATGTATGGTTCGGGTGTATTCATCTTTGCTATATCATATATTTTAAACAAAAACTAGATATAATACTCACACTACTATATATTCCTTCTGTTTTTACTTTCTAGGGTTACAAACAAGAAACGCAATTCATTGCAACACAAGGTTTGTCATTTTGTTTATACTAAATAAAGTAAATCAATGAGACGTACGTTTTACCCATCGGAATGGTTGTACACAAGCATACTCAAATATACACAACTTCACTGTTACAGCATCTAAAGACTACAGTGAAGTTACACTTCACGTCTGAAGTTTATACCAGGAAAGGTGGTGTATAACAAATGTTATACACTATTTACTTTTTCGCACAGGTCCTTCCAGCCACGCGGTGTTGGACTTTTGGAGAATGATCTGGCAAGCTGATGTAAACAAGATTGTAATGTTGACCAACCTCTTCGAGGCAGGATTTGTAAGTATATTTATTGCAAAGTATAGTTATATCGATGTTATTCCTTTCTCTAATGAACTGTGCCAACTAAACATTTTTTGAAAATATGCTATGTATGCCATTTCTACCGTTAGCTATGATACCTTTGAAAGAAGTTAGTTATAAAAGTCTTTGAAGACGTGACGTATTAAATGAGAAACAGTATGGATCCACATAACCAGCCCTTGACACACCATATATCTATCTATGTTGTATCTCATTTATCTCATTCATATTTCTCATTTGCAGTCAAAGTGTGACCAGTACTGGCCGTGCTGCGGCGTCGAGTCCAAGACATATGGATACATATCGGTTCAGTGTATAGAGGAGAGAGTGTTCAAGCATTACACGACAAGACGCTTAGCGATATGGAAAGTAAGGTTTACGCTGATATTAACAATTTAACGTCTAACAGTTAATCATTTTGTCTCAATATCGTGCCGTGGGAGGTCGCAGGAATCGACATGCATACATTTGAATTTCATTTTCATTAAAGTCCAACTCTCCAACGAGGGTGATCCATCACCTGCACTATACATCCTGGCCGGCCTACGGTGTCCCGGATGAAGTGACGTCACTCATTGACTTCTACAAAGTGGTCAGGAACACGGACACAGACGGGGGAGGCACCACAGTGGTCCACTGCAGGTGTTGCATAGCATGCTTGTTCGTTTGGATGTCATTAAAGCTGTTCATTGAAAAACTGCAAGTCGCATTCTGATTTACTTCAAATACAATGTAATGACTTTGTTACATTATGAAAATAAAAACACGACGAGAAAGTATGTATGTGAATGAAACAAAGATTCGAGCAAGGGAACTATCAATCCCCATTACCCTTGCATCAGATTCCTTTGGTTGTTAAAGGTTAAATGATGAACGCATGAATGGGTCATTTAAAATTAACGATGTTCGCGAAAACGGTAGGCATGTCCTCTTCCTGTCATAGCACACTCCACTAATAAAATGTGTATATGTTTACCTTAGACTGTATCATCTGAAATATATTGTTTCTCACCTAGTGCTGGGGTTGGGCGAACTGGAACCTTCCTGGCCCTAGTTTATCTGATTGAACAGTCCAGGGAGGAACATCGAGTATGTGTGTTCTCCTGTGTCCAGGGATTCCGCATGCAGAGGATGAACATGGTCCACACAGAGGTAACAAAACCAGGACTTGATTCGGCCATATGTTACGATCAGTAACAGTAACGTCATATACTTAGTTATATATTCTGATAACATATGCAGATGGTAAAATGATTTGGTTCATTTAGCCATTTCAGGGGAATGACAAGCGTTATGATTAATTACAAGATAATACAGAGCTCAAAGTATATCCAGCTCATTATACTGGAAGGTGTACATGTGAGATATCTAAATTCTCCTCAGTAACTGTTTATAAATGTTCATCCGTCTTAAGGTGTTGCAATGGCTGGTTTCCGCAACCAGCAGGATTTTTTAGTGGGTTTTTCTCAGTGCCCCTTTGAGTTATATCATATATACACCACGGCGGGTTTTATCACGGCATTACTTAACAGATCAATCTTGAAACCTTTGAGTTCACATTTAGATCAAACGTCTAAGGGACGCTACTCTTCAACTACTCTTTACAGCGATTTGTGGTGCCTACGATAGAATGGGTCAGGGCCCACAGAAACCTATATATATTTATTATTGCTTGCAGGAACAGTACATTCTACTGTACCACGCCCTGATCGAGGCCCTGAAGACCCGGGGGATACTGCCTGACAACTGTAGACCTGTGTGGCTCCAGTGTCAGCGCTGCTGGGAGAACTTCAAGCGGCATCCTGTGTAAGTATATATTTCAATGCAGATAGTGAGGGTCAGTCCAGGTAATGATACAAAAACAGGCAATGTTGCCATTTGTGTATAGAAACAATATGGCAGTGATGAACAGCATTCGATTCAATTCGCTTCTCGTTTAAAAGACGTTAGTGTTACCGCAGTACTAAACATATGGTAATTATGTATAGTCGGTTTCATATTTACTAGAATTTCATAATTCATATTTATTTGTGAAGGTTTTTGTCCAAAAAAGAAAGTAAACTTCAACATCGTGATTATTACCCAAACAATCTATATAATATGTAGCGAACATTATTGAATAATGCCCGCTGTACATTGCAGATGTAATGGTGTGCTGATGTGCTGATGTGCTGATGAGATGTTGAGAAGGCGCACAAGGGTTCGCGAAAGAAGTAATTACCCGAGTTGAGCTATTCCTTTCTTCATGTTTGAGTATGTGAGGAGGAAGGGTGACACTTGTAAAGAGCTGTCGTGCAGGGCGAAGAGATGTTGCTGTCAATGATGTATATTAGTCTCTTGCTGCCGCACCACATACCTTACCCGAAGCAACACTTCAGAATACCCAAGTGGCCAATCAGCCTGATTTTTTCTGAGGAGTATCCGACATTCGCCATGCTATGTATAACTCTCTGTACATTCCTTCATAGTCTACGCTAGTGCTGTAACGTCTAAGCCCACATGTACGGGCGAGTAGGAAATTTATATTGATGAGTGAATAAATGTTTTTAAAGCCGCATTCAGCAATATTCCAGTTGCATCACAGCGGCCTGTAAATATCTGACTATGGAACAGGCAAACGTGTTATTGCAAACACGGCCAATACTGCGAATTGAGACCGGTCAGACTTGTATATAACTCTTCCCCAAACAATATATTTACTGTAACCTGTTGATAACATGTGGTAATTATACACCGATATTGTTGCATCCATAGATTTGCTGTAACCTTTATGTGTAGCAACTTTAACATCTTCCTTACTGATGTACATGTAGATGTGTGATATTGTTTTGATACCTCGTTTGATTAAATACAAGTCGGTACAGAAATATGTTGCATCCAAAGTGAAATTTGCAATGAATTCTAAGTGAAGTAACGATATTGCAAGAAAAGTTCAATGTCATACAATAATACATGTTCGCTACGAATGTATAATCGATGCAATGGTATTTGAAAGGTCAGGGGATCTTGATACACATATATTACTGGCCTGTATAAATATCTGTATATGCAGCGAATGAATAAAAATTATATACGCCCCTGGATGTAATACTTTTGTTTTTCCTTGAACCACGGAATTCTTAGAACCCCATTAATACGATAAGTGCGATGTTATGATTGTATAACAAATATTTCCAAGAGAGAAGCTATTGATGCCAAGGACATGTCTCATGGTCAGTGTAGTTTGACATGGAGTACGGCACAAACACTAGACGTATATTGACATTGCCTTGCTAGCATTTACCGTTATGTGACGCAGTGTAATAAATTGTATATCCTGTTTCATCACTGGGTTCAGTCACACAACATATCGATTATTCTGAAATGAGTTGCTCCCCTTTGACATCTGCACGAAAACTGAAAACGATGTAAGACAGAAAGATGTGAGAAAATCCATTAATTTTGATAAAGTATGTGTGAGTACTAATATCTAAGTTTAAAACTAAATACAATTCAAGAGTTAACTGAACAAAACAATAGCTTGTCTGTATGTCAGTGATTCACAAAGATGTTGTTGGACCATTATCATAGACAGGTACAAAAAGGACAGTGAGGGGTCATCCCTGGTGTACTCAGGAACTTTGTTGTTAGCATACCAAGGTTGTATATTCCCACTGGTACATTTGAAGTAAGATGGCATCGGCATCACGTATTAACAGTTTCAGCTGAATTGACCACTTAATTGTGAATTATCATATTTCTCCAAAGTGTTGAAGAACGGATGACTAAACAGTGATGCAAAACTCTAAATCAATGGAATCGAAATGAAGCACTATTTGATCAATTCCATTTGTTGATACTTATGTTTGCCTCCAAACATATTTTAAATGTTATTGAATTTGTTTGATACATAGTCACAAGTGAAAGTATAACCAGTTAGTAATTACAAACAAAAGCTCTATACTTAATGTGTTGTTTCGATCCTGAGTATTTCGCTTAGAGCAAAGAGCTAAGGATAGTCAAAATCGATACAAAATCTCAACTGTCCAAAGTACGCACTTTTAGCTGTCATTCAAAGCAATGTGAACTGTGACAAGGATAAAGTTAAAAAATAGTGTCTTGTCTAGCTGACTGATGTTTTACTGTTCCAGTAATTGGTCATCTGTTGGCAAATAAGGTCCGGATTAAAATATTGATCTTCAGTAACCCATGCTTGTCGTAAGAGGCGACTAACGGGATCGGGTGGTCAGGCTCACTGATTTGGTTGACACATGTCATCGGTTCCCATTTGCGCAGATCGATGCTCATGCTGTTGATCACTGGATTGTCTGGTTCAGACTCGATTATTTACAGACCGCCGCCATGTAGCTGGAATCTTGCTGAGTGCGGCGTAACACTAAACTCACTCACTCACTGTTGGCAAATATCTCAATCCCATTCGCCGTTCTTTTTGTACAGTTTTGCTTGGCATCATTGCATAATCATTGTGATAGCCGTGTGCCTACATCATTTATATGGATGGTGAAAACAGTCATTTATAGAAACAAGTATGTTTCATGCTTTTCGACTTGATCAAGAGTAACAACTCCTTGAACAGAAGCTCAAGCTGGCTTCAGACCCGGCTATTCCACAGTGGACAATATATTTACCCTGCAAACTCTCTGTTTTAAATATCTCTCAAGACCAAAGGGACGGGTATTTTGTGCCTTTGTTGATTTTAGAAAGGCTTTCGATTATGTAGATCGTTCAAAACTTGTATATATGTTGTTAAAATCAGGTTGCCATGGTAAAATGTACAATCTTCTACGTAATATGTATTCATCTGTTAGATCTTGTGTAAAAATTGGAAATTGCAAAACTGATATATTCTTCACTATTTCAGGTGTACGGCAAGGATGCATTTTAAGCCCGCTTCTTTTTATTCTTTTCATTAACGAACTTGCCACAGAAATTCATAATAAATGTAAAAATGGTGTTTTATATCTCCAGATATTGAGGATATTATGATTTGCAGATGATGTTAATATGTTCTCTTACACTATCATTGGTCTTCAGCAACAGTTAAATGTTCTCCATAAATTTTGCACGAGATGGGATTTAAGTGTGAATTGAGAAAAAACAAATGTTATTGTTTTTAGAAATGGCGGTGTTTAAAAAAAGGAAGAAAAATGGTACTATGGAAATGTAAAACTTAAATGTGCTTCATATTATAAATACCTGGGTTTGATATTTTCCTCAAGATTAAATTGGTCAACAGCGTGTAAAAGTTTGGCAACACAAGCATCTAAGGCAGCCTACTATTTATTCAAAGCTAACTCGTTTATTTCTTTCCAAAATGCTTGTACCATCTTTGATTGTAAAATAATGCCTATTCTTTTATATGGATCAGAAATTTGGGGTATGACCTATTTTCATTGTATAGAAAAGGTACAAACTACATTTTTAAAACAATTTCTAAATCTAGGTAAATTTGCTTCTAATAAGGCTATATACGGAGAAACTGGTAGAAAAAGAGCAGTTAAATATTGGTTAGAGTTGGTAAAATGCATTACTTAAGGTACCCTAAACAGTGTTATCTTTTTTTGAAATCACAAGATGATATTGGTAAAGTTAACTGGGTGTTTAATGTTAGACTATTAATCTTTTCTACTGAATTTTACTATGTATGGCTTGCCCAAGGGGTTGGCAATGAAGACTGTTTTATATCTCTTTTCAAACAGCGCCTATGTGATATTTTCATTCAAGCGTGGTCTATGTCCATTAGTAATTCTAGATATTTAGAATATTATGCCTCTCATAAGTCGTTGCTAGAACCAGAATCGTATATTTTAAATTTTCATGAAAAATCTTTGATAAGAGCTTTATGTAAATTAAGAATTGGTTTTCATGATTTCAGTGTCAGTAGGGCACGTAAACATGGTATTTCTACAGAATGTAAAAATGATTTGATCTGTTCTAATTGTACTACAGGCGCTATAGAGGATGGGTTCCATGTCATGTTTATATGCACCAAGCACCTAATTTTGCCATTTCTTTCAAACACTGTAATAGATAAACATTCACTGTCAAATTTGTTAAATTCTATGAATATTATGACTGTTAAGTCTGTAGCAATTTATCTCAAACATGTTTTCACTGTGCGTAGCCATAAATGTAACCATGAATGTAAACATATGTTCACGTGACTTGCATAGTATTTTGTAACAACAACAATTGTAATGTAGGCCTTAAGGCCAGAATTACCGAATAAACTGAATCTGAAACTCCTTGAACATTCAGAACATGTTTTCTAACCTCGTGAAAAAAACCGTGATCAAATAATGGAAATAAAAGCCACAAGAAAATGGTTGCCATAAGGGTTGGGGTTTCGGTTTGTATAAATTATGAAAGAGACCCAAAATGTCCGGAAAATGACAAATGTTTGCATTTGATAATTTGGAACAGTCACAGTCAGGTAGGTTTTTACTGACACTTATACACTTTTGGAAAGTGCTACAATACACCCTGCCAATGGTGATGCGTGATGGCGTACATGATCGCACAGTCTACCGATGTAATATCTGGAAAATACAAATACGAACATCTGCTCCGTGTTAACGTTGTGCAACACGCTGTATGAATCAGACAACCATTATCAGTATAGATTCATTCTCGCCAAATAATTGCCTGGTGGGTGTTTCTCATGATTGTACAAGGCACCAGCTGGAAATATACATGAAAACATCATGACAACGTAGAAAGGAGAATCAATATTAACATTAATATTGTGAGAGTATACTGAACCAAATTAAAAACTTGACACTTCTTGAATCCAACAAAGGCTTTAATGTGTGTATTATTTTGAACGATGTTTATCTCACTTTTATCGTCTAGGTAACAATGGATGTTGGTATTATTTTATTGAAAATATATTGCCCCGCGTTGCCTGTCCCGCCAAAGGAAACTTCACACTGATAAAGAAGCTGGAACAGAAGACGTCAATAACGATTGTGACCTTCTAAGGCCGGCGTGACTGCACGACAACGTCTCCGCACTAAACACCCTCACCAGAAGGCGTCGCCATTGGTTAGTGAGTGCTTGTCCAAGTTCTTGGTAGTTCTGGGATCGATGTATTTGCTGTCGCACTGGTCTTCCCAGCTAATCCCAAATGTTCGGTAAACGAGAGGTCCATGATTTTAACATCGGCTTTAGGTAAGAAGGTCCCGAACTGCAGCATGGGGCATAGCGTTGTCATGCTGATTTATTTTACCTCACTCATAAATGTCCTTTTCTGAATGGCTGAGCGCTCTTCTATTATTTTCAATGTACCCCGCTTACAAGCGAGTAAAATTTTCTATGTTACCCGCTGGGAATGCGGAACTGTGGAAATTCATTTATCGCGAATAATTGTGTCACGTATGATGTACGGAAATTACCCATGATTTGCGAAATTCATCAATGCAAAATGATAGAATTGACATAACTCTAAATTTGTTTTTCTTGTCGTTGTCGGTATTGGCTAATGCCCAAACTGTTACTCCTTATTATGATCCGATACCCTTGCTTCAAACAGTTCAAAATTAACCCATGGGTAGATGTACCGTCTATGTTTGTTTATGTTCCCCTCACCCTTCCGGCTCAGAGAACATAACCAAACATAGAGGATACATCAAACCCATATCCCACTCGTGACCAGTGACCAACTTAAAATGTCACTCTGGGACTATGTAGCTGGATGGGGTCAAAACTTGGCCTCGATACTTTATGGCAGTAAGATTCCCATGGGCAACCGTGGTTTGACAAAAACTTTACGCTGCCCCCGCCATATCGGTAAACTTAAAAAACACAACACTGACGCCGCTGCGCCACACCCGTACCCTACCAAAGGCAAATCGCAATGTGAAACATTCGTTACTGAATGTTTCGTTATCTCTTCATGAATCAGGCATTTTTGTAGACACATCGCAAACAACGGACACATCGAGCTTGTTCACAAACTGTGCATATCGATTACACTTGCAATATTGGTGTGTTCCTAAAGAGCTTCCTGAATTGTATCGAACTTTAGGTGTCAGACTATACTGGAATATTCTTGATCAGGCCTAACAATTTCCAGACCAATCTG